ACCTACCGGTCGCTGGACTGGAGATCAACATACTGTACTGTTAAAAAAATAAAGTTCTGTTAAAAAAAAAGTTTAAAAAAATACAAATGGAATACTAAACAATATGTTTCAAACATAATAATTGTTTACTGATATAAAATTACCGCTCAGAAATCGACCTAAACAGTGATGATATTGAAGCATGTTTCCTATTTGTTTACATTAACATCCGGGTATTTTGCTAGCTGGAGCGTTCAACTTGCTTGCTCGAATGGCGTCCATGCGATTACATAGGGCGTAGTGTTGTGGAGATAGGAGTTACCTATCTTGCGCCGCGTAGCGGCGCTATACGATCTTTGCTGTCATCATGTGTGTCTGGTTGTTTGTGATACCGCTGTCTTAAAATATAGTTTATCTTGTATTTTAAAAGTGGATCTGTCATAAACTGTTGGGTTGCTGCAATTTTTGACACATTATGCGATTGTACTTCAAATATTATGGATTTGGAGCAAGATTTGTCGCCAAAACCATTGGTTTATGCGAAGGTAAGTCAAAGTGTTGCACTTTCTCAGTCTCAGATTTTCACTCAACGCCAGCTCAGCAGGTGCTCCCGATCGTAAGTCTTGCAGATGGGTGTAAATTCACTTGCAAGGCTGACAAGTTTAGAGTGGAGGTTGAATGAATTGTTATTGACAATATTGATCTGTTGTATTGTATTTGATTGAAATATTCCTCTGGGATATTTCGATAGCTGTGATTTAGAATACAATAATTGTTCTATTAATATTATTCATTGCTTGCTGCAGCAACCAACCGAACCTGTTATTTAGGACTATTCTTAAGTTTAATTTAAATTATAATTTAATATTTATAATAATAATATTTAGCCTACAGTAGGCTAGGCCCTACTACTACTGCTAGGCCTACACTATACCTTCTTTTGCAAACTTATTTTGTTGAAGATCGTCAGAGGAGGGTGGAAACAAGATAGAAATAAATTTTGTTTTCTAATATTCAGCAAAAGGTTTTGCCAGAAACATCCAGATGAAGGAGAAAATAAAAATAAACTTATTGCTGAAAGTAAACAATGTAGGCCTAGGCCTAGTAATATTAAATAAAAATAAAGAAAAACTTTAATTTTTTCTGAAATTTCCATTTTTTTGTGGTGGCGGGTGTGCTAATTGGCTAGAAAATAAGTAAAATTCAGAAAATATACAATTGTTATATACAATAAGGTAATTATTAAGATATAAAAATAATATATACAGTGTAGAAATTAGAAAATTCACATTGTGAAAAATTCAAGTACATTAAAAAATTATTAAGTAATTTGAAATGCATCAATTGGATAAAAAAAAGTAAAAATGTGATAAATTTTAAAGTTTAGATAATGGAAATGTATTTAAAAATTTATTATTTAAAAACAAAACAGTTAAACAGGGCTCCCAAGTCTCTGGCAAATCGTGGAGTCTCCTGCAAATTAGTAAAGTCGCCTGTACTCACGCAAGCAAGAATAATCTCTGGAAAAAGACCCATCAGCAAATTCATGACAGTACACAATGGGCATGATAATGTCATTGTCATATCACTTCTATGCGAAAATCATAGATTTTATTTTGGATGTATTGGAAGATATCCTCATAAAAATGTGGAAAACAAAAGAGTGTTAATTTATTACATACAATAATAAACTGATTATTAGCAGGACTTTTTCTCACGACTAAAAACAACTCCATAAGCCTCATTAAGAGACTTCGCTGATAAAAGCATCATATTATTTCATTTATTTAAGGGGGTCCATCAATATCAGCCGACCTTCTAGGATAACTTCTATAAATATAGTTTTTAAAAAATGAATGAAAAAATTCTAAAATAATCAGAAAACGATCAGACCTTAAAAAGTTCTTAATCTGATTGCCTACTGCCAGTTTGAGGGTCTACCACTTTAGCTAATTTGTGAACTGGCTCAGCACTAAAAAAGTATTCCATTTTTATGTGTGTAATTTTTTTTTATTTTGTTTTTGTTAAATTATATATTATTGTTCTCTAATATTCTTAATGGAAAGTACCCTATAAATTTCTCAGAATGTTATTTTACGTAATACAGTAAGTAGAAAATAGTAATTTAGATAATTACCAATAATGCTGCATTATTTCACCAGTAGATTCATTAAAAAAATAGTAATGATGAATTTACTGATAGTAGGCCTACTTTACCATAATATAAATTAGTTTATGAATGTTTCTTACAGTTACAGTACCATGTATAGATTATGAATTTCATAATGCATATTACAGAATTATTTAGCTAGATTACAGTTGAATGGATGTACAGATAGTGTGAGTAGTGCAGTGTACTATAAATTATACAGTATTTTGTCATGTCTCATATGATTTTCTTAATTTATAATACTGATTGTATGCAGTACTGTATTACTGTATATCACAAAAAAAAATAGTTTGCCAGGTTATGACCTAATTATTTCTCTGTTATTTGTATGAATATGGCATATCGATCAAAGTTAAAAAAACAGCTGTTTCACCCAAAAAGAGTTTGCGTGAGATAGAGAAATAATAATTAATAATGACGACTATTTGAAAGTGAAAAAGATAATCACAAATGAATCACATTTTTTCACAAGTCCGTTTAAATGTATGGTACTGTATACATTAACTTAAAGTACAATATTTAATTTACAAAATCAAAATAAAAAAAAAAAACAAGACAAAAGAAAAAGAAATTTTAATTTACAGTAATTAAATAATCAAAAACAAAATTAAAAACAGAAGTAAAGAAGTTTAAAAGAGCAAACAAAAAATATATTTTCTCTATGGAAGAATCTTTCAATTATTTGGTATGAACCCAAAACTGCTCTCTTTTTTATAGAGTAGCTTTAAAAAACCATTAAACTGATCACTCATTTTGTTCAGATTTATCAGGAAAAGTTGATGAAATGCATTTAGCTACCAAAAACAACAGACTGAATTGCCTTTACGCAAAGTGAAAAATCTATCCTCCGTGTACAGTTACATTGTAGCTCATTGATCTGTACCTGTACTAGCAAAGATTTTTAATGGCAGTCATTAATTTTTGTAACTACCATAACATTTTATTTAAAAGGACAACAGTCTGTTTAGGGAGTCCGCTTGATTTTGTTGGAGTATGAAATGTCAGTTTCATAATCTTAACTCGTTTGATTGCTGTATTGCGTTGGCCTGTGATCTTCTCGTTGATTGCAGTTGAAAGTAGAAGATCCTTTATTACAAGTAGGAACAAACAATCTACCTTGTAACAGCATGCCAAGATGCGTATCATGCTTAGAGTATTATGCATGCACGTATACACACACAGAAATTATATTTTTTATGTATTCTCTCTTCTCAAAGGAAGATAGTCATGCCTGACCAGTTGTGACTTGTAAAATGAGTATTCCGCAGGTTTAGCAAGGCGATTCAGCTTGTTCAGGCTGTGGCTTGTACAGCAGCCATCAGTTTCAGCCATTTCTGCTTTCTTGTCTGCACTAGCAGTATTTGACTTTACTTTGATCAGTGATGTTACACAGTCTACAGTATATTTTCGATATTAATTTTCTCTAAACTGTTTCTTATTTATTCCTGATTTAAAAAATAACACTGTTAACAATGTACAGTTATAATGATGATAATAATAATAATAATAAACACACACACACACACAGGACCAAATTTGAAAAAGGCACCTGACATCCGCTTCGCCATAGGGTCGTGCAATAAGGTAACATCCCTTTCAGATCTAAGCCCACTTCTTTACATTCACGGCAACGGCAGAACAGCGCATGATACACTTGCCTAACCTGTTACCTGCTATCATACTAAACATCTGCAAAAGCGTCATGAGCGCAAGTGCTTATACCAATGAGCCGTTTTCTGTCTAAACGCCTGCATGAGCATCATACTGTATGGCAGATACCGGTGCTATAGAAGTATAAATGTTTATTCTATTTTTAATATTTCTGTAAAGACATTGAAGATTCAAGATGCCATTCATTGTCACAAGTATAATACATGAAATTTGTTTTCCTGATCTTGGAATACACAAAACATTAATGTAAAAATTAAATTACAAAATAAATATTAAAAATATACACGGTGCATAATTACTTAAATTACAGTTAAATTAATAAAATACAATGTACTAGTAGTAGTACAGTAAAGAAGATCTAAATGTGTTGTACACCATGGAGGTAAATGAGTCATAATTAAACATCCATCTTAGTTTCTAAATCTACTTATCACTGCCAATGTGGTAATCAATCAATCTATTTATTAGGAATAACACCTTAAGATCAGTGTGGCACACACAATAATGATGATAAACAAAATTAACAGATTCATGGAATTTTCAGGTATCTTCGAGGGTATAGGAAATCCCTTTAGTTCCAAGAAAAGCCCTTTATGGCAGACTTTTTGTACCTCAATGCAAAGTAGCTCTTAGCATGTTAAAATCAAGTTCATGCATTTAAATGATTTACAGTATTTCTAAACCTAATTTATATTCAGATACATGAACTCTGTTTTTATGTTTATACCTACCGTCTCACTCAGATTTGGTTACATATTTTATGAAATCCCAGATGCACTTCACATTAAAAATAGGAATAAGATGATATTAAAAGTTGCTATGTCTGCACAGAATTTAAAGTTTTTAATAAGAAGCTCTATAAAAGATCATTTCCATCATCTAGGAGAGAAAGTAGTATAGTAAATCATAGTTTTCAGATACTAACAGTTATTCCTTTTATTTTTGTTTGTGGTTCAGTTGATTTTTTTCATTCATTGCTATTGTATTATTCTGGCTAAAGTACCGGTAGGTTTCCTGCTTTCGCGGCTCCCGGGAAATGATACCAAAAAAAGAAAATAAATACAAAGATATTTAGAAACATGTTAATTTTGTCATCATTATATGGTTTAAAAAAAAAAAAAAGATATTACCTGAAAATTACGATTACTGTAATTAATCATCGGCTAACAAATTTCCAAATATAGAATGACTAAAATATTAATTTTTTTTACCTAAAATATCTTGGCATAAGGAGGTCATCCTAAAAATATCAGTTTAAATCAATTTCAGGTTTTTTTAGCAAAAAAATTTGAATTAATAGAATGATTTTTTTTTTATTATCTCTTTTCAGGGATGTTAATCAAACATGTAATGATTTATTATTTATATTTTTGAGGTTTTTTTAGATTTTACCGTAGAGTCCAGGGCTGGAAAAAGTGTATGACTGCACGACCAGCGGTCAGAGGCAACATGAATGAAATAAACTGTTGGGCTACCGTATATTAGCCTATATAGCAGGGGTGGGCATAAAAATCGGTCAGAGGGCCAAAGTGAATTTCTGATTTAACACAGAGGGCCGCACTCAAACTTTGATCTTTCCAGTGCGCTTCTAAAAACCTCCAAGTACTGCTTTTACATCACTTTATTTCCAGGTTTAATATTACTTTTTACATATGATCGGTGTCAGGCCGTAAAAAACAAGGTGTTTTCTAGTCAATGTTGCTTGGCGGGCCGCACACATAGGGTTTTTATTTCATATACGCGGGCCGCAGAAAAATCGCTGTCGGGCCGCACTTTGCCCACCTGTGCTATATAGTGTACAGATAATATTTGGAGGCATTTTATCATAGACAACTCTCATGGTCAGAGGCACAAATATTTTTATTATTTTTTCCAAACCTGCTGCAGACAGTTCTTAATTTACTGGTACTATATGTCATCACAATGTTTAAACAACCACAATGGCTGTCAAAATATGAAGTACAGTTTACTGCCCCATTATTTTTTAACCGGCATCGTCTTAGTAATTTTTAGTATTTTCATTATCGTTATTATAATATCAATTTCATTCATGTTAAGCCAAAAAAATAATGGTTGTTTCTCACCAGTGAGAAACAGCAATTGAGAAACAATAATAATTAAGTTATTTGACCATCATTATTACTGTTGTCCTTTTGTTCTTGTTTTATCAATTGTTGTTTAATTAATGTTTTGATGCTCATGCAATTGAATTAATGCTAGTCAAAATAACACAAAATGCAAGTGAATGTTTTCACTAATGTTCTTAAAATGCAAAGATTGCCAAAAAGCAGGATTTTCGAATACTTTACAGGGACTACAGTTATGTATTAAATTAGGAAATTTATGAAAAGAAAAAACTTAATATATAATATATGAAATTAATAATTATAATTTATATTCTTTGGTATATCATTTGATTTAACTTTCAAAATTATGTAGCTTCATAGTAATTTCATTACATACTGTATTTTTATTTATTTGTTTTAGAAAATTTTTTTTGTATAGTAATGTAATTAAATAAGGAAATTTTAAAAAAAAACTTAATAAATATATACAGATGAAATCATTTAGAATAATTATTATTATTATTATTATTATTAATTATTCATATATTCTTTGGTAACTATAATCCCATCATTTGATTTAACTCAGGATTAATTTCATTGCGATTTATTTATTGATGTATAAAGATGACAAATACTGTACAACAAAGCGGTAGCACAAAGCTAAAATGCTTGCATAACAATACAATGATCACCAAACAGAACACGTTGACAAATACCATACTGATACGTAACATGATTGTAAACTCCTGGGTGGAGAGAGGCAACCGTAGATAAAGTGCCTTGCCCAAGGACACAAGCGATTTGCACAGCGAGAGTTTCGAACCCCAACCTCGAGGGTTAAGAGTCCAAGCCACAACCGATGCGCCACTAAATCATGCTATGTAGTGGTGTAGATTTACTGTTGACAAAATCATTTTAAATCAGATTGTAAATAATAAAACTTGACCAGTTTAAAATGAAAAAAAAAATTTGCTGGTGCACGGTTGTTTTTATAATTGATACATACTGTCAGTAGCATACTCGGTGCTCTCCCAATTGAAACATTTATACTGGTAAATGTGTCCATGAAAATTCATCTATGCTCGCAGTGTGAGGCATTATCCCTTTTGAGTGGGTTTTAATGACTTGAAAAGACAACATAATAGCCTACAGTCATTAAAGCCTAGGCGCAGACTGGATTCTGGAATGACGTTCTTTTATTAAAACAAGGCCATGCCTAGTCTACCTAGGCCTAATCAGTTGTTTTTTATTTTACATTACAAACATAAAATTTTTACTGGTTGGCCGGTTATTTTACAAAAGGATGAATTAAATTATTTTCAAGCCGTATAAAGATTATGAGGTAATTAATGAAAGAAACATATAACTTTTTTTTTTTATAAGTAATGCCAGGAGCAGAATAATTGCACAGTGAACTATGAAAGAAATATTGATTTAATCATTTCAAGTGATCAATGTTCAAGTAGAAGTTTGAAGAAGTATAGCTTTTGGCAATGTATTGGTCTTAGTGTATACTTCTTCATTATAATATTATTCAGTGAGTGTCCTCCAGCCCTCAGTATTTTGACGTTCTCTATCTAAACTACTTATTAATTGGCTTGTTGTCATGGCAATCAAATCCTTTACATATTAATTTTTGTATCATATTTCCCATTGCTTGGTTTCCGCTCATGATTGCAACACTTGAACGCTCCATGACAGTTGTCTCTTTACGCCATACATGATTACGTCATAAGTGGTTCACGATGCATTATGTGAAAAGAGTGGAATCTATGTATGAGTATTTCCCTGATTGAATTCTGCAACGGTTGTACTTAATGAGACACAAACTACTTCACATCACACCATATGGCTATATGCCCCAATTATTGCTATGTTGGTAATGCTTTTCACCATATTGCAGTAACTACTTGTCATGTACAGTTCAGGATTGTCAACTATGATAGTCAATGACGACCACTTGTTCTGCCGATCACAGAATGATTAAGAACGTAAATCATTTATTTATAATGAAAACCTTTTTATTTAAAAGGAGTATTTTTCCCAAAAAATCCTAAATTGAAATTTCAATGAACTTTCCACTTCATGCTGAATATTATTAATTGTTGTATTGTTCAAATTGATATTGTAAAATTGTAGAGGGCCCCTTTCAGTCAGCATTGCTGTTAGGTTCACCCTCGTTAAATAGAGTTAAATAAAATAAGAAGCCTTTCAGCCATATTTTCCATAAAATGTTAAATACCTCCTCTCAATCTGCGGTCTTGTGTACTCTAAACGGCGAAACTAAATTGCCTGGATCTACATGTCATTGGATGTCAACAATAAGGCCTTTAAAAAAATTGTTTTTTTGCCATTTAATGCTGAAAATTGTATAGGAGGGGCGGGCGCAGAAAGGTTTTTTTTTTCTCCTGTCACCAAAATTAACATATTAAATTGCAATGCTTGCAATTAAGGCTGTGTCACTATTTGTTTTTCAAAGGGTATTCATCATACCGAATAAAATTAACCCATAATCGATATTTTGCAATGAATTTAGGCCTAGAATGGTGACACTTTACATCAGACACCAAATTTAGACAATTTTCATGTGCAAAATAAAGATCACTTTTTAAAATCTGTGAACAAAAATTTAAAAAAAAAACTTTTTTTAACACCGCCCCTATTTTTCAGTGAGCTAGGAATGGGCGCTGGATGGCAAACAAACAATTTTTTTTTTAGGCCTAATATTAATGCTAGATCATTCTCATTGTAGCACCCACACTTTAAAAAGAACTACCAATCAACATCAAACAATACAAACATTACTTTAGACACACCTTTTCCGCCACTAACATGCAGCGTTCATTGCTTATACAGACTCCTGTCTTTTAAATGGTTCTCTTAATACAAATCTGCAGATTACTGAAATCTCTTAGTTTTAGGGAGTGGTGTTGTTTTTCATTGTGAAGATGAAATCCTGGTTTCTGACAGCACATATGAAATGTATACACACACTATAAATATTGTGTGTATACATTTCATATGTATACACACAATATTTATAGTGTGTGTATACATTTCATATGTGCTGTATACACACACTATAAATATTGACTGCATTTCTATCACTTTATAAACGAAAAAGAGATAACGTTATTTGTCTGGTGTGGATATTGAACAGTTACCTGCATTTGTTATTAGCAGTGTAACCGGCTGATTCGTTAATGGTCAGTGGTGAATATCAGTCTACCTGGGCACATAATAACGCGTCTTTTGTAAATATTTGATAGTGTAGTGTTTTGATTAGCTGGATATTTAAACTGATTCATTTAATTTATTTACATTATGCTTGACAAGGCCAACTGCAACAAAGCTCCTTCACTGCCTAAAGCCTATACTTTCGGCCTTTTTTCTTTTTTTCCATTCACAAGTAAATTTCCCCTTTCTAGTTTGGATATTTTCATAAAACTATTCTTATAAATTACATTTTCATTTACTTTATTTAATATCAGATTTATTTCTTGTTCATTTCAGATGGAAAATTTAATCACAGAAATGCAGAATGTTGAGAATGGAGTTCCAGTTGGAAGTCAGAAGACATTTCTCTCCATTGTTCCCAGTGCTTTCACAGGTGAGCTTCATAATAGCCGGAAAAATGGGTGTAGAATGTTACTGACAAATTAGAGGGCACTAGGGGTGTGTTGGGGGTTAAGAATCACCTCAAATCACCTTATTTTGTGAGCCAGCACCCCCTCACTTAATCATCAAACCTTCATTTCAGCTTCATGCCCCCATCATCCCCCTCCCATTTCAAGACATATATCATAATAATAATTATAGATAAGATTGAAAATGAATTAGAATTTGATAGAACATAACATTTGACAAAACATTTTTTTTTGTAGGTTATGATTTTATAGAGTGGTTAATGGAGAGATTAGAGACGCAAGATTGTACTGAATCACTACATCTTGCTAACCTTCTATGCCAATATGGTTATGTGTTTCCGGTCCAAGATCTAAAGACACTGATAGTCCGTGATGATGGCACACTGTATCGATTCCAAAGTCCATACTTCTGGCCATCACAAAACAGGAACCCAGACAGTACTGATTATGGTAAGTTCTAAGAAAATGACATTTCAGAGAAATTAATTATATAATTGCTACATTGTTAGCACAAAACAGGAACCTTGACAGTACTGATTATGGTAAGTTCTAAAAAAATTAAGAAATTAATTATATAATTGCTACATTGTTTGCATTATAGCATGTATTTATCTTCAGAGGCAGACAATATACAGCATAGAAAAGCTATTTTTTCTTTATTCTCATGCCAATCAATAAGTGAACAAAGCACACAATGTAAATTTATCTACATAATTCATGAGCTATAAATACAGTATTACAACTGCAGTATACTGAAATTACAACGTTTGTTTAAATTCTGACTGCACTGGTATTACAACAATGAAATCGGCCAATTATCTAATGAACTTCCATGTTACTGAAGCATCTACAAGCCGATTCACACAATGTACATCACCAATGGGACAATAGAAACAGTGGTGGCACAGCGTAAAAAATGTAAGCTGGGGTGAAGACAAACCAGAGCGGTCACTCGAGTGCATACCTCTGCCTAAATACAGCACCCAACAATACGCAGACTGTATGATGGGCAAAACTGCAGCATACCCTCAATGAAATAATGGAATCACGTTGTATTCAGGCACTTTATTTTCTGGAGTGCTGCAGCCTACCCTCAAGAAAATAATGGAATCGCCCACCGTATTCAGGTTTTTTGCAGGCAGACAGCAGTGAATACATAACCTCCTTGGCGGAGGTAACTAAAAAAATATAGTCATTTAAAGTACAATACAGTTTTATATTCTGACAGCTAAACCACCGTGATTATGCAGTTTAAGTATTTTATAAACTATTAAACTTCAATTCGGTCTTCGGTCTCTTTGTAAAGGTCATATAGTACATTGACTTCTACCAGCAAACTATTTGTGTCAGTATTTAAAACAAATAGGATTATAATAAATTATGCTTTATGCTGGTACTGTAAGTTAATCAAACATTTATTTCCATGAAAAAGTACTAAGTATTTTTTGGGGTATGTTGGAGAACTCTATGTATCTATAAATCAGTGTACATTTGTTTATTATTCCTTTAACATTCATCTTCGTCATGGACAGGATGGCTAATTTTAGCAAACATCAATGTGATTTTTTACTTAATTTTTAGTGTACTCTAAGCTATAGGCTTTCCTCCTGGGCATTTTAAGGCCAAACATAATTAATTTCTAGTTTCTTGTTCACACCCTCATCAAATTTTGAAGCCTTATGAAAAAATTTATTATGCTATGTAAAAAAAAAAAATGATCTGAAAGATTATTGTCAAAGCCTAAGACTAGGTGGAAATATAAATGGCAGAATACATTACAAAGATTAAATTTATTTATTTTATTTAAAAAAATAATTTTTATTATACCTCATACATAGATTCTAGGCATCTGATAGGTTTATAAGCAGGCAATAGAAAGTACTATTCCTCTGAAATATTTTCTGGACCCACCATTGCGCTGACGGTAGAGGCGACTATGGCCTCTACGACGAAAGAGATTGGCCCTTGACCACTCCACGGATCAGCAGCGAGTAGATGTTAAACAATAATTATGGAGGCTGTCGGTTCGAGCTCCTGGATAAAGAAGGATTTATTAGCCTTGGTCTATACTTGATGAAGCACCAAAAGACAAATTAAACATGTCTTGTCAGTAGTCTACAAATATTGCTAGACGATGAGTTAAAATTGAGGAAATGAACAAAGAAGAGCTAGATATACTCTTTGATCGCCTAGGCCAGGTCCTAGTTAGTAGGCCTCTAGGCTAGGCTAGGAAGTAATGTACTTTTTAAGGCCTTGTAGAATCTATGTATGAGGTATATAAAACAAACATTGACTGCTCTTGATTCAAGGGACGGAGAAATCTATTGCCCCTGTGGAGACCGTAGCCTATCTTCCTGAGGGCTGTATATTATCTAGCAACCTGTTTACCACTATTATATAGGATAGTAAATAGCAATAGTAAATTCCCTCACCCGAAAATAATTTCAAATCCCGGACGTGAATTAATTTTCTTTAGCCTTACTTTTTGTTCATATTCATCACTTCTTCTTTTTTTTTTGGTATTGTTGATGACAAATAAATTGATTTAAACTTTGAACTTTGTGGCAGGAGTATTTTCTCTAGTAATCATATAAGACACCCGTACCATTCTAATCCCATTTCAATTGTCTAATATCAGGATGTAGTGTATTTTATCTCACATTGATTTATTAATTATTCTTTTCAGCTGTCTATCTTGCCAAGCGAAATATGCGCAATAAACAGAAACACAGCCTGGAAGAATATGAAAGTGTAAGTTAACTACCATTTTCCTGGTATTGATAAATCATTTTAAAGCAGTTGCTAAAACGTCCATGATTTTTTAACCTTTTATCGATCCTTTTTACGGGCGGATGAGCTGTTCAGAGCCAACGGCAAAACCAACGCTTAGTTTGAGGAGTAGGATTAGTTTGTCTTTTGGATTAGATTAAGTATTATTTTCTTGGTCCGTGTTTTCATGTTTATGTTAAGCACATAGAGGTCTCCATACCATGCGCTGTACGAGTTTACCAATATCTAATTATTAATTTTACTTTATTAATTACTTTTAATTATATTATTACTTATTTTAACTTTTTATACTGATACCAAAATCAAATATTTATAGTGTTAATAAAATATAAAATATTCATATTTTATTGACATTGGTTCATTTTTACATGTACTATTATTTTTGTTATTTAATAAATTTATAGCAACTTTTACAAAGCAAAGTATAAAAATCATTATTTATAGTGATATTCAAAAACCAAAGAAGGTATCAAATATTATTGTAATTTTGCTTTCGTTCATTTTTAATTATTATTTTTTGTTATTTAATAACTTTATAGCGTCTTTTACAAAGCAAAATATCAAATCGTTATTTATAGTGCTTTCACAAACCAGAGAAGGTATCAAATATTATTGTAATTTTGCTTTCATTCATTTTTAATTATTATTTTTTGTTATTTAATAACTTTATAGCGTCTTTTACAAAGCAAAATATAAAATCATTATTTATAGTGCTATTCAAAAACCAAAGAAGGCATCAAATATTATTGTAATATTGCATTGTTTCATTTTTGTGTCACTATTTTGTCGCATAATAGTTGACCTTTCTAATTCCGGTGAAGGTCATGTGTAGGTGGATATCTATGTGTTTAGTAATAGGAACAGTTGTCCTGGTAACAGGATAAGGATATCACTGTCACTGTAATGTATCTATTAACAGGAAATACCATGGTGTACTTTATTGTATACAATGAATAGGCAATTATACTGTACATGAGAGTATAATATCAATACCACCACTTACTTTCATGATGTTAAACCATTAAAACATTAATCATTTTCCACATCATCATTTCTATGGAATTAGGCAGTAGACACACGCTCCCGCTTGGAGCCTATTTTTAAATGTGCTATTATTTTTGTTATTTAATAATATCATTTTTACAAACCAATGTATCAAATCATTATCTATAGTGCTATTCAAAAACCAAAGAAGGTATGAAATATTATTATAATTTTGGTTTGGTTCATTTTTAACTATTATTTTTGTTATTTAATAAATTAAGTCATTAATATTTACATAGCATTATTCCAAAGTAGTATCGAAAGTAATAATAATAATAATATAATATTATTTTGTTATTTCAAAGGGTTTATAGCATCTTTCACAAACCAAATATAAAATCATTATTTATATAGCATTATTCACAGATCGAAGAAAGTATCAAATATTAGTTTATTATTGTATTTGTTTATTATCAATTATAAACTGTACAAACATTGTTATATAAAGTTGAATGCACCATTCACAAACCAGCCAATAATAATGCACTTGTACCGTATGTTTATTGCCACTGAACATAGGATCAATAAACATAATAACGTGCAACCTCCTCTGCTTCTTGAAGAGCTTCTAGTCTCGCTTTACAGTGAACTGTGTCTGAGAGTTTTCATACTGTTTTATTCATCACTATCCCTAACATCCCTCCCAAATCCTTCAACAATTTAAATTTGCCATCCAACTTAACATAAATAAACAACACTCCATGGCATCGTAGGTCAGCGTTCTGTTGCCATTTGAATGTGAATATTATATTATTATTATTGTTTGTGTTTTTATTGTTGATATCCCAAGACCCTGGGAGGATGCCTCCGAGAATATGCGCAATACATCCAACCACTGGTCGCGTGGTAACACACTTCTTCAGCTCTGTGCTGACTTCCTTTTCTTAGACAAAATTTGTGTCCTTAAACTAAATTGCTCTAAAAGTGTGTAAGCATCGGCAATTCTGTGATTCTTTATCTTGTTCATCATCAATCAAAATTTGGTTTAGTTTTTTTTTTATGTATTCTTTATTTAACAAGCCTTTGTTGGGCATTCTGCAAATGTGTTTTAAGTTTTAGCCATTGTTCATTGATGAATAGACAGCTACTAATTTTCACCTTCTCTGTTTATGTATACATAAGCCAAGATAATTTCCTCCTCATTTGACATAGTATTAGGCGGTTTTTAGGTTTGAATCCGTCATCAATCATCCTTTGAAACCCATGCCAACCGGTTCTATTGACATATTTTTCATTTAATCTACAGCTCTTAATGGCATGACATTATCTAGATTTTGAGAAAAATTGTTCATATGTATTCATCATACCATATTTGGTATGTGATTATCATTTTTGTTAGTCATTATTTTTAAATTGTTATTATTGATTTATCTAATATTGTTTTATTTCAATCTACTTCTTTTGTCAAATGTAGACTGCCCTATCAAAGTTGAAACAGATGCTTAGTCATAAATGGGAGTTTGTTTTACTTCAAGCGCAGGAACAAATTAGGTGAGCCATCGCTTAGCAACATACATCATGCAATACTTATATGGTAATGAATAAGTTGTTAAAGAATTATTCATAATCATCTAATTATTACATGATGTATATGTTGCTATTAGATAATATGAGTAAATTGTTGAAGAATTAAAAGATGTGTAAACAAAAAAAATTTGGTTCCATTAATATCCATTAATGGAATATTATAATTGGGAAGAAATATGCCAAGACTGTTGTATCGTCCTCCTGGCGACTTCCAGTATTTAAAAAAATTATCTGTTTGTTATAAAATATAGAAAATCTTAAAAAATTCAAACAACAGAGAGTTGATGGGGGATGCAATGGATGGGCATGGTGTAGAGTGATACTGAACGTAGGCTACTTTCTATCATACTTACATTAATTAAATGTAATAAAATGAATTGAGACTGTTCAATTGGTGTTTTTTTTGTTCTAAATTTATAGAATTCTTGAAGTCAAATACAATTTAATTTTCACAGAATTGCAAAGCAGAGGAAGAAAACTGACCGAATAATATTAGACAGTCAAGAGAGGGCATTCTGGAGGGTTCATCGTCCCCCTGTAAGTACCTCATGTTTTGTGAAATATAAGAACAATTATCATATGTTTTAGTATGGTACATTCATAAACAACTGATATGTTGTTAGACATTCTCCTTTCACCGACTAAAATACTTCAGCTTTCCATAAGCCTCACATCCTGACCCCCGACCTCCTCCACCGCAACAGCTCATCCGGGCCTACTTTAGTGTTCTCCCAAAGCCTTTTTAGTTGTCAATTACAACCGTAAAAATAACCAACCAACCAGTAAAAATGTTGTTTGTAAAATAACTGATAAGGCCTAAATAGTCTACTGTAGGTTGTTCCAGTCTATGACTGTATGTGTTTTTTGAAGTCATTAAACCCCACTCAAAAGGGGTAATGCCTCACACTGCACACGTAGCTGAATTTTTAGCACACATTTACCGGTAAGAATGTTTTAATTGGGAGAACACTACACTTGATTTTGTAGGAAACAAAGAACTATAGTTAGAGGCTGTTATAGTATTCTACAATTTGCTAGTCCTTTTTGTTTTATTCATTATGCTCTTCTCATTTTTGAAAGAGACAAAATAAGCACAAACAGAAATCACAAAAGAGCATGGGGGATATCCCTAAAATTGTGAAAATCCTACCTTATACGCAAAAAAAATAACTGTTGGGTCGCATGTGGCCTGCAGGCCTTACTTTGCCCACCTGTGATATAGGGTGTCTTATTATTTTTCTTATGTTTTTTAAAGACTTAGATGAAAGAATTTAGAGGAGGTATTGGAATGACACATCCTGAATGATGATGATGACCACAACAATTATTTTCATTTTTAGTCCTATAGTACCTTACATCCCTTGGCAAATGGAGTGTATAAAACTTGTTCTTTTATTTTTATGTTCCATTCTTGATTTTTCTATTCATCTTAGTTTATTCAGCCTTTATTTCGGAAGTGATGCAGGTAGTAGTTCTGTAATAAAAAAAATACATTGATCGTTAAACCTTTGGCATTCATGCCTATTTACGTGGACACTACATCTAACTAATAGTTCCTGTATGTATGTATCGCCCCCAGGGACAAACATGTGCGCTCTGTAAATAGTAAATTCAGATAAATAAAGCTGTGTCCAGACCATCACCCTGACCATATATATAGGCACATCATGACTATATATGGGCACATCATGACCATATATAGGCACATCATGACTATATATATGGGCACATCATGACCATACATAGGCACATTATGACTATATATGAGCACATCATGACTATATATGGGCACATCATGACTATATGGGCACATCATGACCATATATAGGTACATCATGACCATATATAAATACATCATGACTATATATGGGCATAGAACAGTTATTTGGCAAAGACAAATTTTGATAATCGGGACAGAGATTTACATTGTTTTATTGTTTCTTATTTCAACTCAGCCTGGACAGATAAATTGCCTAGAGAATGGGATAAGAGGTGCTTACACATTGAAGATAGGGTGCCCACTGCAAAAGAAGAATACTGTAGAGAGATATAGAAAACAGGTAATTTTTTTTAGTTTAAAGTAACAAAAAATACTATTTGAAACATATAACGATTTCAAAATACAATTGCCGTATTTATTAAAATAAATACTCCGCTTTAAATTAATTTCTCCTTGAATAAACATCCCAGCCACCACCCCACAGAGCCTCATTTGGAGTGAACACCTTCCTCTAGGGAATTTGTTTGATTAATATATAGTAAATATAACTGATAATGTCCATTTTGAGCATAATGTCCTACCAGACACAATCTCACAGTTGATTGAACTTTAATATTCATATTGGTATGTTGCTATGGTGATGAATTCATCTTGGAACAATCCATTATGTTGCCACTCCTGCTTTGATTATATTTTGTGAATGAGTTTCCATGGAGATGCAGATTTCTATTGGACAGAACTCAAGTTGTAATTCAGTCTGTCTCATTAGGTAACTGACAGGAATATGTCATCTAGTAAATAACAGTCTCCTTGGTTGATTAAAGATGATCGTTACTGTGTACACAGATGCTCTGAAGTGTACAAACCAACATTTACATTATTCCAATCTAGATTCTAATATCCAAAGTATTTATAATATTGGTGGCTCACAGAACATTATGTATTATTATTATTATTATTATTATTATTATTATTATTATTATCATTATTATTATTATCATTTATTACAGTATAAAGATAAATACAAAAAATTATAGCACAAGGCTAAAACTATTAAGGTAATATAAGATAACATTTATTGTCCAATAAACAACTGAAAATTTGTTTTCCTCTGGCAATACAAAGACACAAAGCAATTACATTTAAAATACAATTGATAAAAATGTTTAAAATATCATGCAGATATTTGAAATCAACCACTTCAAAAGATAATTAGAATGAAATTGAAAAAAATATTGATAAACAAATTTTAGTTGCCC